GCAATGTGGCACTGGGGTTTCGGTCCAGATCAGGAAAAGGAACGGGGGTTTTAAGTCAGTAAGAGTCTGACACTCTCTCTTGTCCTACCCTGGGCGGGAGAAGTCATTAGATGATTTTCCACTCAAAAAAAACCTTTAACAAAATATGTATTGGGGTAACAGTTAGGCCCCCAGTTACCTCGCTCACAACATAAGCGTTGGTTTACGCCGGTATTCTGTGAGGCTGTGGTACATTCACGGAGCATGTTTGTCCCATATTTAAGTCTTCTTCTAATGCATCGTAATGCAAAACTAGCATAGAGTTCACATACACTTTCGACCTATATGAAAAATTATGAGGATTAGAACGCACTTGACCGTGCAAAGATAAATCAAAAAGTTATCCAAGAAAAACACAAAAACAATGTTCATAATATAATTATGTAGGATTATATGTAAGTTTTAAGTTTTTTTTATTAATAAGTCGGCAAACGAGCTGACGGATTACCTGATGATAAGCAATCAGCGCCGCCCATGGACACCCGCAACGGAGGAGTTACGAATGCGTTGCCGACTTTTTAGATCAAATCAAATTCTTTATTTCAAATAGACCAAAAAAGGCACTTTTGAACGTCAAGCAAAGAATATATCATAAGGTTAACTTTATATATGTCAGTCTGTCCGTCTGTCCTCTAGTGAAGCTATTTTCTCGTTCCAAAGTGTAGATTCCTATGGAGAAGAACGAGCAAGAAACTCCATGGTTACTCTTTTTCAATCATTTTTTACAATGCATTGTTACATAATTTAGATAGTTCCATTATGTGAGAACAGTGTAACACTAGTGTTTAACCAAAGGATCCGAAAAAGAAATGAACCTCAGGGACAGCAACTTTAGACAGTCTCGAGTTGACCAGTCCCAACTCAACCATATTATAGGGAACCGAGCGGTCCAGTGCCCGTGCCACCGCCAATGAGACTCCTGAGTGAGCATGACAACTCCCAACTGACACAAGTACCAATATACTATAAGTCTATAAGTCTAACTCAATTATAATAAGTTACAGGGCTCTCACATTTACAAAAATCCAGTTTATCAACAATTAACAACATGGTGAATAATTTAATAATTGAGATCAAAATTCCTCTTAACCTTAACAATTTTTATCCTGTGCAGTCAAACCAGTCCAAGCATTTTTATCTTCTATATAATCATTTAGTTTGTAGTATGCTTTCCTACATAATACTTTCTTTATACATAATTTAAATTTACTTTCATTAAGATTTTGTATTTCAGTTGGGATTTTATTATAACATTTAACACATAATCCCATGAACGACTTATGCACTTTTGCTAATCTAAATAAAGGCTGACTTAATCTATTTCTATGTCTAGTAAGATAGTCATGTTTGTCAGATACTTTTACAAATAGCTGTAGGTTTTTCTTATCATACATAATGTTTTCATAAATATATTGACATGGTACGGTCATAATGTTGATCTCCTTAAACTTTTCTCTGAGAGATTTGCGACGACCTAAGTTATAGATAGCTCTGACGGTACGCTTTTGTAAGATAAAGATAGACTCAATGTCGGATGCCTGTCCCCACAACAGAATTCCATACGACATGATGCTGTGAAAGTAGCTAAAGTACACTAGTCGTGCCGTGCCTACGTCGGTTAGCTGACGGATCTTCCAGACAGCATAAGCTGCCGAGCTCAACCGCCCTGCTAGAGATCTAATGTGGGGCCCCCATTGCAGCTTGTCGTCTACAGTAATCCCCAAGAATGTGGTCTCCTTTACAAATTCCAGTTTCTGACCATTTAATAATATATCATCGCATACGGTACTTTTAACATTTGGCAAAATAAATCTAATGCATTTCGTCTTTTTATCATTAAGTACTAAGTTGTTTTTTGTGAACCAATTATGAACTTTCATTAAGGCATTATTGACTTCGTCATAGTTATTTGATCGTCTATTTAATTTGAAAATCAAGGATGTGTCATCAGCGAATAATACCATATGCGGTTCACTTTGGAATAAATGTGGCAGATCATTCACATAAACTAAAAATAGGAATGGACCCAATATTGAGCCGTGCGGTACGCCCATAGATACGCTAGCACCCTGTGAGTTTACTCTGTTTACTTGTACTGTAAGTAGTCTTTCTAGAAGGTATGACTTTAATAAATTTAGGGATACCCCCCGAATGCCGTAGTGTTGCAGCTTCAGCAATAGTGTCTCGTGCTCAACACAGTCAAAAGCCTTCGAAAGATCGCAAAATATTCCGATGGCATCCTGTGCTTTTTCCCACGATTTGAAAACTTGTTTTATAAGCGATACTCCTGCGTCCGTAGTGCAACGTCTCTTAGTGAACCCGTATTGATGGTCATGGAAAATAGAATTCGCGTTAAAGTGACGCAGTATTTGAGTAAGTAACAACTTTTCAAACACTTTACTGAGCACTGGCAAAATAGAGACCGGCCTATAGTTATTACGGCTTATAGAGATTAGGGGTTGGGGAAGAGTCGGGGTAGGGAAAGGATTGGGCATCCGGTAACCTTACTCACATAGCGAAACACAACGCGGTAGTTATTTCACGCCGGTTTTCTGTGAGGCTGTGGTATCACTCCGGTCGAGGCGACCCATACGTGCCGAAGCATGGCTCTCCCACACTTACACACAAATAGGTAAAAAATTATTCAGAAATATTGTATATTATTTTCTTGCATTTATAATAAACTTGCATAATGAACAAGTCTTGTACTCACAATTAGTTTTTTTTTAACATTGTTATAACCTGTAATACAGATTACTTGATATGGTTAACTTTATTAATTGTTGGAGAGTTACAATAAAAAATGCCAGCATTCCCATCTCCCACTCGTATATTTTTATGTTGAAAAACGTTCAACCAGTGTTTTTATATATTAAGAAGCATATGTATGCCTGTGTTTAACATACGAAAATTAGTTTTTAGCCATGAAGCTACTTGTATAGCCATGAAGCTTGCCCAAGTTGTGTCAGTGAAAACAATTAACGAAAAGATTTTCATATTTGTCGAGTGTCAAATTACATACGTCGTTTAATGTACTAGAAAAAGGATTGGACCCAGAATGATTCCTTGTGGCACGCCGCACGTCAACTCACCGTCCTCACTGACAAAATCTTGATCTTCTGTTCTCTATTTATTAAATAATCGATAGATATAGAAAGTGTGGGAGAGCCATGCTTCGGCACGAATGGGTCGGCTCGACCGGAGTGATACCACGACCTCACAGAAAACCGGCGTGAAACAACCACAACGTTGTGTTTCGCCGTGTGACTGAGGTTACCGGAGGCCCAATCCTTCCCCTACCCCAATCCCTAAATCCCCAAAATCCCAATCCTTAAAAGGTCGGCAACGCACTCGTAACTCCTTTTTTGCTGCGGGTGTCCTGCGACGCCGATTGCTTACCATCAGGTAATCCGTCTGCTCGTTTCCCGTCCTATCACATAAAAAAAAAGTTGCGAATCTCTAATTCCAATCTTTGAGATGATATCGAAAACCAGGTCAAAGGTCTTTTTTAAGTCTGAAAAGACTATAACAGGCTTTTTTTCTTTTAGATCTATATTCTAAGGCACTTTTAAAGTCTATTTTAGTAGTTGGTATGTTGTAGTGCAGGTTGGTAATATCTTATTTTAACAATAGAAAGGTGGTACCATGGTCTGTACCTAATACTAGTTCGAAGGATGGCAATAAAGACAAAGAAAAATGTAATAAAACAACCATATTAATATTTCCTTATAAGTTATAATTTTACAAAAAAACATTTATAAATCTCAACCGTAGACATAATTTTATATACTAAAATAAACTTACACTAAGTATAATATAACTAATTAATTATAAATATTAAAAATGTACACTAAAAACTCGGTTATGTATTTTAACAAAGTTACACCGATGGTGGTGTTTCTTAAATTATGGCGAATATTCTCTATAAAAGAGAGTCTTTTTTTAGTAGTATCTATCTACCCGAAAGAAATTTGGCTGATAATGTTACCGAATAATAAAAATAACGAAATTAGAGCTGACTTTTCAATAGTCAGATAAATGTTATCTGAGGAATAAAATTGTTGCTGTCACTGTCTTATACAAACATTCTGACGCGACAGCATCATAATTATTCTCCACATACATAACTTTTATCTAACCATTGAAAAATCAGCCCTTAATCAATTACCTGCAAGTATATCATGAATTACTTTTAAACTTTCGCGTTTCATATTAACAAAATATAAGTCATATTTAAATACCTTAGTACCTGGTTGCACAGGTCGTGGTCGCAAACATACTGATCGCGTTAATACCCGCTGAATATTATGTTGTTAAGTATATGAATTAATTACCTATAAAAAATCTCCATATTTATCGTTTGGACGGATTCAAAATCTCTGTGACTACTTTAGTCAAGCTAATATAAGCGAAAATAAAAAATCCCACTAGAACTTTTCTCCTATGGCGTGGGTGCGTTTACAAGCGTTCATAAATTCACATTACGTAGGTACACATCACACACAGATCCGAATTGATAATCTGTGGTTCACATAGTGTTTTAAATTATTATAAGATACAGGACGGCTTACCATGGATACTCACAACATTAGGGTCTGATTTTTCAGTCAGATAAATGTTATCTGAGGAATAAAATTGTTGCTGTCACTGTCTTATACAAACATTGTGACGCGACAGCATCATAATTATTCCCCAGGTAACTTTTATCTTACCATTGAAAAATCAGCCCTAAGATTTCTAATCAGATTAAGAACTTAAGGATAAACCAGGGTTTAAAATAACCTAGGTCATCTAGACCCATCTAATTTGATATCAGTTCTATTTGTCTATTCCTATTTATTCATATTAACAAAAATAATGTAATCACACTACTTTTAAAATTGAGCAAATTAATATGTACTTAGGCTTTTTTTAAATTATGTTCGCACATATATAACCTAACTTTCATTGTATAAATCTTAAAAAATTGTAATAAAAATTCATCGGACGTAGGTATTTATAATGAGAACTAACGTTTTTGCTCACAAGATGGCGTTAATGTAGCGCGATTTATTTATTTGTAATTGGACAATCACCGTTACTCATGAAATTTGAGTGACCAATAGTAATACACTATGATCTACCAGTTTAGGTGGTTACCTAAAGGTAAACAATTTCGCTGTATCTTTTTATATTTTATTGAAGAGGTCGTATAAAAAACATACAAATATTATTTAAATTTAGCTTATTAGCTAACATCGATTCAGGTCGAAACTAAATTGTAAACATTTTTACATGTACATTTTAAAAAGCTTTTGGATAAAAAGACATGCTAACATTTTAAGTCATTTAGGGCTGATTTTTCAATAGTCAGATAAATGTTATCTGAGGAATAAAATTGTTGCTGTCACTGTCTTATACAAACATTCTGACGCGACAGCATCATAATTATTCCCCAGGTAACGTTTATTAAACCATTGAAAAATCTGCTCTAAGTTTATTAAACTAACAGACCATAGCTAATTTCCTATTGGACGAAAAGACGACAAGTGCACACTAACGCCATCTATTGAGCAGAAAAAACATTAGCTCTCATTATATCAAGTTACTTAGTTTATAGTCAATTTTATACCAATTTATAGCTTCATATAATTTCAGTTGAACACAAGAGCGATTATTGGCTGTAAAACAAAGTAAGTTAAGTAAACAACTAGAGACAACGTGATGGCTTTCAGGGTTTGATGGAGGTAGAATAACCTGAAACAAAAAAATCGTATTAATAATACCAAGTAAGAGTATCTATTAGATGCGAGAGAGCCATGCTTCAGCACGAATGGGTCGACTCGACCGGAGTGATACCCCGACCTCACAGCAAACCTGTATGAAATAACCACAGCGTTGGGTTTCGCCGTGTGAGTGAGGTTACCGGACGCCCAATCTTACCCCTCCCTCAATCCCTAAATCTACAAATCCCTAATCCCTAAAAGGTCGGCAACGCACTCGTAACTCCTCTCTTGCCGGTGTCCATGGACGGCGCTGATTGCTTACCATCAGATTAGCCACAGCCTCACAGAAAACCAGCGTGAAATAACCAAAAAATACCATTTTTTTTTACTTTTTGCATGTCAGTCTATCCGTCTGTCCTCCAGTGAAGCTATTTGCTCGTTCCAAAGTGTAGATTCTTATGGAGAAGAACGAGCAAGAAACTCCATGGTTACTCTTTTTCAATCAGTTAAACAATGCATCATTTAGTCAGTTCTATCTATGTGAAAATTTATTAAATAAATTTAAACACCTAGAAAATCTATAATTGTTTGCGAGGGCTTTTGGGAGGACTCTATTCTTACAATGAAGTGCTAACTTTTGCTAAAACAAGTCTTGATTGCAACTACGCCTGTGTTATCGAGGGGAAAAACCGCCATTGTGTTATTCCAGACTTTAATGTTCATCAAAATCCATCCAGTAGTTTTCACAGAAAATGGTAACACAGAAACTTATTTAGGCGTCCTCAAAAATATTTACATTCATTATATAAAAGGTTGATTTTTCAATGGTTAGATAAAAGCTACCAGGAGAATAATTATGGTGCTGTCGCGTCAGAATGTTTGTATAAGACAGTGACAGCAACAATTTTATTCCTCAGATAACATTTATCTGACTATTGAAAAATCAGCCCTAAGTGGGATAAACTTACTTGTTCCACTTCTTCCTGGCTTCAGGTAAAGTTGAAAGATCATCTTTTATAAGGTACACTCGTAGACCTGAAATGCACAAAATAATAATCATTAGAATAAAAACCGGTTGTAAAATCAGCCTGATATTTTAATGTGTCAAGACCACTTTTAGTCTATAGCGAAATGGCCATAGACTAAAATCTCATGTTTTTTTTTTTTGAGCGTTTCGGGGATAGCAATTTAGCGCAAGTCTGAGAGTAAGTCACTCCACCAATATTTTTTTTAAATAACTCTATTACTCACTTGTGAATTACAATAATGAAATAGTCACAGTTTGATTATAGGTACCTATGCCATTATCTACTATTATCTATGTAAAAGTCGTATGTAAAAATGAAAAAAATAATAATAATATATCTGTAAGACCAACATCTGTAATAGGTACATCACGGTTATAATTTTAAGTTTACGAGGAGCGAAGTGCCCTAACACAGGCAAATTTTGTCTAAAAGGTCACTTCAATCACTAGCTGATGTAGTACTATTTTGTAAACCGAAATAAATTATTTGTATTTGTATTTGTATTGTACCTAACACTACGTGCCTAATTGCCGTGGGATAAGACCTCTTTATGAGGAAGTGTGATGAAAAATAAATAAAAATACTTACCAACTAGGAATGTTTCACACATGTATTCCCAGGACATTTCTCCTATGCTGAACGGGAAAATGACACGATCAGCGTCAGAGAGCGAGTTCCACATATTCCTTACATTCATATCAGAAAACTTCCAATCTTGAGTCGAGAAATAGAACAATATATTCGCGAGCTTCATTACTTTTGAGTATAGCTTCAGCATTCTGAAAAGGTTAAAAAAATAAATTAGATTCAACTGCCATGTGATTGTATGAAAGAATGGAAAATAATTTATTTAGCTCAAAGAGTACTGCTATCAAAGAGCTTTGATTGGACGGCTATATTACACAGTTGCCTGCGACAGATACAATGGATTGGAAGACGTTGATGAATCAACATCATCGTCATCGTTGAGGGGAGATCATGGAGGCAAGTGGCTAGTTGTCGTTTGACGTGGTGGACTAAGGAAGGCCTATGTTCAGCAGTACATGTCAAAAGTACATGTGTAAATTACTAAAATGTGACAATTTATTTTCTAAACTCATGCGCATGTCTTAAATTTCGAACAACACCATCTATTATTTGATGACGAAAACAAAGTGAATTTTGTCTGAAGTGTTCATCTTTGAGTTTATTTATTTATTTCTATGATTTGGTATTTTGAAGAGGTATAAGTTCGTTCAAGAGAAGTGTAGGTATTATTAAAGTTTAAATGACGTCATAATTAAAATGCGACCTTATTTATTTATTTCAGTTGTTTTGTCTGTCTGTCTGAAACTATGAATGTATGAGTACTTACGCTCGTCTCTTTCCGGTGATAGCACAGTATGTATCGATCATCAAAGCCGGCAAGTAGTGCAGGAAAAAGTTGTAGAAAAGGAACAAATAATAATTATTCGTCGGATTTAAGCCGTAGTACCTGAAACATGGAAAATTAACAAATGAGATACATTGAATAACTACAAGACATTTTTTAAATAATAACCGGCGACAAGCTACTATCCGATATTCTAAATCGCTGTGATTTTTTTAGCTATTTTTTAGTTTTTATTTATATTTGCACATAAACCTTCCTCTTCAATCACGCTGTCTATTAAAAACATTCATCAAAATCCGTTGCGTAGTTTTAAAGATTTAAGCGTACAAAGGGATATAGGGACAGAGAAAGCGACTTATTTTTATACTATGTAATAATTAGACTTACCAGACAGCCTTGGTGGTTGGTTTATCGATGCCATATTTGCGGTTCCTCTCGATAAACTCTCCCCAAGTTAGGGGATTCTGCGCTCCAGACACGAAGTTGTAAATAGGTATGTGTGAAGTTTGGCTGAGAAAAAACAAAAGAGTTATCAGTAAGATATAAAATAAAACGTTTAGAACTTTATTTGCATGTTGCGTGGTGCCTCGGACGCGAGATGATCTACGCCCACCGTTAGCGCGAGTCTGCGGACGGCGAGCATATTTTATTTATTTATTTATTGTTAAACATACACACTATCATTACAGTACTTATTGCCCAATACAATAGTGGTGTTTACGTTTATTACTAAGTACACATTACATTACTACACAATACACAAACAAATCAGACGAATAAAAACAAAACATTAAACATTAAACTTACAGCTAACACACAATAACCAAACAAAAACTTAATGTAAGGAACGCAACCGGTGGCTTGAGTTCAAATATGTAGTGTACAACCCGCCCCGTTTTCGCACGTGTGCAATCAAAACTGATATTATAAATGCGAAAGTAACTCTGTCTATCTATCTTTTCTTCACGCCTAAACTACTGAACCTATTCGTGTGAAATTTGGTACAGACACAGTTTGGAACTTGAGAAAGGACATAGGATAGTTTTTATACCAAAAATCTGCAGGGAGGCACTATTGCACGCGAACAAAGTCGCGGCCAAAAGCTAGTGCTGATATAAAATTTCTGCACTATTTAATGGATGTTATTATACATTGAAAAAAAGAACTTAAGCTTAAATTGGGATATAGGGTCAGAGAAAGCGACTCTGTTTTATACTATGTAGTCATATGAAAATACTCACTTTTCCTTATAATTCTTGGCAGTGTGCCAGGCTGAGGCGAGGATGGCATTGACGCAGAGATCCACTGGCACCATATCAGCCACCTTCTCCTGATCCATATACATAGTACGAAGAACCTGTAGGAACATATGGCAAAATTAATCACTTGTTTAATTAATATCAAGGTCAACTAACAGCGAATGCAATCTATAGATAAAATCCCGGCCTTAGTCGAGGCCATGGTGCGGAGTGAGAGGAACTGGGAAGCCGTCTCCTCCTTTTGTGAAGCAGTCATGCTCGCAAAGAGAGGCGGCCCGCGTGAGGGAGCAATCCTCCTCCTCACGCCCCAGCAGCCGCAACTGGCGACACTACGGGCGTCGGGGATCAAGGGACGATCTCCGGCCAACGTAAGCACGGGCCTGCGGTCGGCGAGTAAGGGCAGCTCGCCGCCCGACCAGAACCAGGCCCGAGCGTAAGGCGCGTAGCGTTCCGCGCGCGCCTCAAAGAGCCATTAGACCACCACAGATGGGGCCCTAAAGGGCTGATGTTCAGCCGGGGTTGCGGGGTAAGCGCAATTAGGCACCGCGACCTCGGCACAGAGCAGGAGAAGGAACAGGGGGGTTTTTAGTCAGTAAGAGTCTGACACTCCCTCCTGCCCGGCCCTGGGCGGGAGAAGTCATTTGATGATTTTCCCCTCACAAAAAAAATCTATAGATAAAATAGAAGCTATCTGTTATAAAATGTATAAGTGATACCACGGCCTCACAGAAAACCGGCGTGAAGCAACAATCACGTTGTTTTTCGTCGTGTGAGTAAGGTTACTGGAGGCCCAATCCTTCCAACCTCTATCGTCAATCCACCAGTCCCCTTTGCTTAGATCCCTTATATCCTACAAGAGGCCGGCAACGCACTTGTAGTTACTCCATTGATGGTACGATTTTCGGCGGCGCTGATTGCTTACCATCAGGTAATCCGACTGCTCGTATGCCTATTATACAGGGTGTAAAAAGACACTTAACGAAGCCGTTAACTATGCAACTGCAGTTCTAACTAAGTAGCTTTACGCTAAAATTATCACTGGGAAACGACTTTTATTTTTAGGTATCATAAAATAATAATAATTTTATTGCGCGCAATGTAAAGCAAACGGGCTTCGTGTCATTGTGTGCGTAGGTTCACAGCTTAGCATGAAAACGCTGTGATAAGTACGTAGGTCGACGTTTTACTTCGCAACAACAAAACAATTCTGTAAAATAAAAATCCTACTGGGATGCACGATGCTTTTTGTGCGGGTCTGCATTTATTTATTACGAACATTACTGTTCGTAACTTCAAATGCGTAATTTATTTAGAAAAATCGAAAATTCAGGTAATGTTTGTATGGAAAAATGTTTTGTAATAATAATTAGAATTCCAATAATTAAAAATGCATCTTTGAAAGGTCAACGGGTTTATATTGCCTTCAATATGTCGAGAACCCGTGGAGACCCAGCTATGGTCTTAAAGAAAAAAATGATCCAAATAATGGGTAGAATACGTGGCTTTCGGCTTCGTTAAGTGTCTTTTTACACCCTGTATAAATAAATTGTTTAGGTTCCCACAGATAGAGAGTAGTGATGTTCCGAATATCCGTATCCGTATCCGTATCCGCGGATATCCGAGGAAAAATAAAAATCCGTATCCGTATCCGTATCCGTTATTTTACACGCGGATCTTTTACGGATCTTTTTCAGTTAATCATCAGGTAGAAATAAAAAAAATCCAGCTAGTTTTTTTAAATAATCATATATTTCGCACCTATATATTGCAAACATTTAGATACATAGATTTTTATAATGAGAACAAGTTAAAACTTTACTTTTAGGACAGTGAAATAACTAAAACATAATGATTGTTTTCTATAATTAAATGAATGACACCACACCCGTGCAATGCAAGTCAAAACATGTCGTGTCTGACGTTGCGGCGAGCGAGACGTCAACTATCTTTTCAAGGCCGCGCGCGGCCGGCGACACTAATCTTATGAGAAATTTAAGATCCGTATCCGTATCCGTATCCGCGGATCTTGACACTAAATATCCGTATTCAGATCCGTATCCGCGGATCTTCATTTTTAGCGATCCGGCACATCACTAATAGAGAGTTACAAAAGTTAGCTCTCTTACACATATTGCAGTTATAAAGTACTTTACTTTTGACTTCTCCCGCCCTGGGTGAGGCGGGACAGAGTGTCAGACACTTGCCGACTATAAAAACCCCCATTCCTTTTCCTGCTCTAGACCAAGGCCGCGGTGTCTTATTGCGCTTGCCGAGCAAACCGTGCTGAGGATACTAGGAAGCTGATGTCATGATTCTGAAAATTGGCAATTCTGCTTACCCCAGTTCCGATACCGACGACCAGCCCTGTAGGTCCATAGACACTGTCCGTCCACCCTCGCACGGGCTCCTCATATGTAGATACAACTGTAAAAAATAATGTTTATACCATGTCAATATTTATAGAGTAACTAGCGGCCCGCCCCCGCTTCGCACGGGTCCAACTATCTAGCTATCAAAGGATTACTTTTTCCTAATCTTCTCCTCTACTTTTCTAATATTTTCTTTATTAAGAAATTCTCCTGACAATAACAAACACAACAAAAAAATAATTAACAAAATTGGTCCAGGCGTTGTTGAGTTATGCGCTTACCAACATATTTTGCGATCCATTTTTATATATGTATAGGATTTCTTCAAATTTATTGGCAACTAGCTTTTGCCCGCTACTTTGTTCGCGTGGAATAGTCACTTCCTGCAGATTTTTGGTTTAAAAAGGATTCTATGTCACTTTTTGAGTTCCAAACTATGTCTGTACCAAATTTCACACAAATAGGTTTAGTAGTTTAGGCGTGAAGAAAAGACAGACAGACATGCTTCGGCTCGACCGTTTGATACACACATTTGTTACAAAAAACCAGAGTTGTGTTTCGCCATGTGAGTGAGAGTACTGGAGGCCCAATCCTTCCCTTCCCCTATTCCCAAAATCTGCAAATCCCTAATCCCCAAAAGTTCGGCAACGTCCATGGACGGCCCTGATTGCTTACCATCAGGTAATCCGAGTGCTAGTTTGCCATCCTATCACATAAAAAATGTTATATGGTATTCTTCAGAATTTTAAAATCTTACCTATGGAAGGTCTGACGATGCAGATCGGGAGTCCTTCCCCATAAGTCCTGACAGCCTCTTCAGCTACGGCTTTGGTAAAACAATAGGTGTTCGGACGAGATCCTAGAAGTCTGAAATAAAAAAAAAACAGTCGAAGATAAAAATCATCCCTAACTCCGAAAACATTGGACCGATCTGAAAATTTTCGTTCTAGAAGATAAGAAAATTCTATACCTTATATTCAATAGATTTAACTTCTACTTCTGAATGCTATAAGGATGACATTAAAAGCAAAAAAGTCCTAAAATCCACCAATTCGGTAGTTTCCTAGGTCAAAAATAAATTATTTCGACGTTTCAATACAATAAAATACTGGTAAATAACTATACTTTTAGTCATCGATCGATACACTAATTTTTTGATTTTTTTTTATCTAATTATTAAGAAATAAGTAAGCTACCTATTTGACGCAAAAAAGTTTTGACGTCATAGCTCAGTTTTTCATACAAATTTCATAGAAAAGTATCGTTTTTGACGTTTGGATAAAAGATATTATGATAATAAATATTGAATTTGACTAGTTGGAAACTACCGTATTTTCTGAAGCTATCATTGATGATTCTACAAACGTAATAAAAGACAAAATCGGTTGAAAGAACGGAAAAAATATATTTGTCAACACACTTCCTCATAAAGTGGCTCTAATCTCATGGCAATTATTGACAGTTATAATCAAACTGTGACTGTTTCATTGTTTTATTTCTATTATTGACAAGTGAGTAATAGAGTATTATTTTTAAATTATTGGTTGAGTTACGCTTATACCTACTTGCGCTAAAACAGTATGTGTAAAAAGCACAAAAATAAGAACCATCATTTTTTAATCTATGGCATCGGCAATCGCGCATCGGCGCGCGCATTGGAATACTGATTAATTTTTCCCGCCATTACGAAACATTTTTCAGAACTCGTTTTGTCTTCTCTTTTGAAGTTTTTTATTTAAATGTCGTATGATACACATCATCATCACCATCACAGCCTGTTGTCGTCCACTGCTGGACATAGGCCTCCCCAATTGCACGCACTGAGCTCGATGTTCAGCTCTTCTCATCCAACCACTGCCAGCTAGGTGGACTGACGACAGCCCTGCGGATGTCGTCAGTCCACCTAGCTGGAGGGCGCCCTACACTACGTTTGCCTAGACGTGGTCTCCACTCTAGAACACGTTTACACATTTTTAAGTGTGGGAGAGCCAAGCTTCGGCACGAATGGGCCGGCTCGACCGGAGTGATACCACGGCCTCACAGAAGACCGGCGTGAAACAACCACAGCGTTGTGTTTCGCCGTGTGAGTAAGCTAACCGGAGGCCCAATCCCTCCTCAATCTCCAAATACCTAATCCCTAAAAGGTCGGAACGCACTCGTAACTCCTCCGTTGCGGGTGTCCATGGGCGGCGCTGATTGCTTACCATCAGGTAATCCGTCTGCTCGTTTGCCGACCAATTACATAAAAAAAACATGATACAGATGTATATTGATAATTACCGTCCTTGGCTCCTTAAGACCCTCGCCTGACGGGTCGGATCGTAATAATGGCATTCAAGTAACCTACTCTGGCTTCCGCAAACGTTCCAGACGCGCTACACCATCGAGGCAGTTCCAACAGCATCCTCAGCGCATAATTTAGAGGTGAAAGATTTCGTATATGTACTTACGTAGGTAAAATGCTTTCCACCAGTTTTTCATCAACTTCCGAAATAGCTTCCAGAGCTTCCACTGACATTGGGGGCTCGTAAAACCTGAAAATTGGCATTCAGAATTAATATAGATAACGTGTAAAGAGACTAAGTAACTTTTAGACACCCAAATCACCCATTAGGAGTCTTTAAGGTTAGAGTGAATAGGCTCTTAATAAACTAGTGTACATTATCATTAACGATTGCATCACTGCTCTCCATCAGGTGGGGTTACAGTCCAGCACTATTAAATGACCTACAAAAAGAGGGTTTCTTAGAGACAGACAACACACATTTATAAGTTCTGCGTATAAAAAAGCCGATGGATCACCCAAAGACAACCAAAAGGCATGGTCACTCGCAACATCAAAGGAGTTACAAATAGATTTCTGTCGTTTTGGAAGTGTCAGATATTGAGAAATGGAGAATTTGGAATTGGATATTAGGAATTGGTGATTGGTATTGGAGAATAGCTAGACTATTGAGCTTGGGATTGAGATATGGGAGAAGGGAAGTGGAGAGAAAGGACTGGACCTCACTTAACATCATTTACACGACGAACTTTTTGCACATGTGGGTTTTTTGTAAGGGCTTGATACCATTTCTCGCGAGTCAGTATGTTCGTGCCGAAGCAGGGCTTTCCCACAATTATTAACTTGTAAGAAATAAAAATTCATGTCAAGCCATGTCTGTCAATAGCTCCTCAAACTTAAAAACATTTTTAAACATTCCTAATAAGTAAATAAGGACAAAATAAAGCCTGCCCTGTTTATCTATTTCAAAACAATTTATTTTATACTCAAAGTATTTCCAAATAAAACGTGGTTGATTTAAAAGCCTCTTCTGAAATGTTCCATGATCAATAAACTTAAGTAGTAAGCAACCCATACAGAAAGTTAAAGGTTACAAGATCAAATTAAAATATTAGCACACTATACAAATCCTTATTCAGTAAATCAGAAAGCCAAACCAAGAAAGATAGCATTTGTTTTTGGTGCTTTTAGACCATAAAATGTAAATTTCGTTCTCGAATACCTACTGTAATTCAATGTCGACTGGTTTTTGAACTAATTGCATAAGTATATCTATAAAACGTAGAAATATATAAATATTGTTTTCTTTTTTTTTAGAATAACTGTACTTATAATGTAACCTAAATCTAATTATACGATATTAGCTACACGCCCTGACTTCGCACGTTTGCAACGCTGTTTTTTTTTTATGGAATATGTCGGCAAACGAGCAGACGGATTACCTGATGGTAAGTAATCGGCGCCGCCCATGGACACCCGCAACGGAGGAGTTACGAGTGCGGTGCCGACCTTTTAGGGATTAGGGTTTTTGGGAATTAGGGATTGGGAGGGATCGGAGGAGGGGAAGGATTGGGCCTCCGGTATCCTCACTCACACGGCGAAACACAACGCTGTGGTTGTTTCACGTCGGTGTTCTGTGAGGCCGTGGTATCACTCCGGTCGAGCCGACCCATTCGTGCCGAAGCTTGGCTCTCCCACACTTAAACTAATACTAAATTTCTCCACTATCAATCACTCTATCTATTAAAGAACGACATCAAAATCCGTTGCGTAGTTTTAAAGATTTAAGCGTACATAGGGATATAGGGACAGGAAAAGCGACTTTGTTTTATACTATGTAGTGAATTATGTAATTTTATTGTTTAGCGGTGTAATACGCTGTTATGACAAGTTGCTTGCCATGACCGGTGTTTTATCTGTTTCACAGAAAACCGGCGTGAAACTATACCTACTACTGTATGTGAGATTACCGAAGCTGGAGGTCCAATCCTCCTCCACATTATAAGTAATCCTCAAATCTTAAAAGGCCACCCATCTGGTGTTACTGGTGCCTATGAGAGACGTATATTGCTTACCATCAGCTAATCCGTCTGCTCGTATACATGCTACTGCACAATATAGGGTAAAAATGTAACAGTTTTACTCACTTTTCTTCAATATGTTTGACTTGTGTATTTGAGAAAGCTGTGGAGACATGGGTGATGGCTTTCAGGTTCCGACACTCCTTAGCCAATTTTAGGACTTCTTTAGTCCCTTTCACATTTATTGCCGTAGAAACTGAGAGTTTTTCGTCAAATTTCACTGTAGCAGCAGCGTTGATAATTATTGTAACCTGTAACGACATCTCTCGGTTAAAACTTTAAACTATCCAAACTTATATTATAAATGCGAAAGTAACTCTGACTGTTTCTCTGTCTTTTCTTCACGCCTAAACTACTGAACCGATTTCTTGGAAATTTGGTACAGACATAGTTTGAAACTCGAGAAAGGACATAGGATAGTTTTCATACCAAAAATCTGCAGGAAGTCACTGTTCCACGCGAACGGAGTCGCGGCCTAAAACTAGTATGCTGGTTTATACTTGTATAAACCAGCGCCATCTGTTGTTGATTGAATTAAAAGATTACTTAATTTTAAGTGAGGTTAACTGAACCAACTATACCTATACCCAACAAAACAAATACCTGTGTCCATGGGAACATTAGCTCATGACGATACTAAGGTATTGTTAGTGTGTCGCCTGGACAGATAACAATATATCAATCTTTGTTGATCTGTTGCTTGTTCAGTCAACCTCGCCACAACCTTGTTGACTGGACAACTTACCTTGCTTGCTAACATCTTCCTGTCTTCTTCATTGATGCCTAATCCCGGCAGTTCCATATCTCCTAATATCGGGACCACTTTGTGAATTCCCTTTGGATTCTCTTCATGAGCTCTGTGGAAAAGCTGAAACACAAAACATACAATACAGTGACATGAAGAAAAGACAGAAACAATCTCCAAATCATGAAATCATCCCATTTATAAGGCTACGAGACCCGTTCATTGCTTGAAACTACAAGTAATTATATCAAAGAAAAGTCAGACGAACATGGTGTAAAATCCCGCTACTTAAAAACTACCGCCGTGCCAAGGCCCTTTCGCAAATGCAGCGGCCATTCTAAGCTAAATGGAAGTGTGGGAGAGCCATGCTTTGGCACGATTGTGTTGGGTTGGCTCAACTGGAGTGATATTACGGCATTACAAAAAAACAGTGTGTCAATATCCTTAGGTATCGCCTCGTGAATGAGGTAATCGGAGGCAAATTCTTCCCCTTATTCCTGCCCAATCACAAAATCTTCGAAACTCTAAGTAATCCCCATTTCACCTTCGGACATCCCGGCGTACGGCGAATATCCACCCTTGCGTTGTTGAGACACCTGCGGCCCAGACGCTTTGCCTCGTCATTTATACCGCGTACATCGAGGAATTGGAACAGTTTGCCGGCTGCAGTCTTTCCGTCCGAATACAATTTAGGTGTCTTCAAGGCTAGAGTGAATAGGCTCTTAATAAACTAGTGCGCCTTACCATCAACGATTGCATCACTGCTTACCATCAGGAAGGATCGCAGTCAAGCACTAGTTTATAGCAAGTAAAAAAACAAACTCATATCTCTTCTGGTGTTGCAGGTAGTGTACATGTTCGGCGGCGATTGCCTATCAGATAATACGATTGCTCGTTTATATATAATGTTTTTAGGAGTATTTAATATATCGTGGTCTGAGAACTCGAGCACTCTCAAGTATTCACCGAAATATTTTATGAGATAGATCGACTACGTCAGCAAACGAGCATTCACAGAAAACCGGCGTGAAATAACCACAGCGTTGTGTTTCGCCGTGTGATTGAGGTTACCGGAGGCCCAATCCTTCCCCTCCCCCAATCCCTCCTAAATCCCTAAATCTCCAAATCCCTAATCCCTAAAAGGTCGGCAACGCACTCGTAACTCCTCCGTTGCGAGTGTCCATGGGCGGCGTTGATTGCTTACCATCAGGTAATCCGTCTGTTCGTTTGCCGACCTATTAAATAATAAAAAAAAAACGAGCATTCACATAACCTGATGACAATTGGAGACCCGGAAAAACTAAGGCGGATTATACTTACAAACTCATCCATCATTTCATGCAGCCGTACTCTAGGATCCTTGCCTTTCTTATTTCTTGCCAAAACATAAATAGTGTTGATGTCACCACAGGAACGAATCAGCTTTTCTATTAAAACTGAAAAAAATACATGAAAAAAGATAAGAAAATTGTTTGATTTTCAAAATTTGGTTGTACGAGTGTGTTTGTGTGTGCAATTAATTTGAAATCGCTCTTATGTTTGAGTATAAGAATTTTTTTTCCAATACCTATACTACATTTTATGTTTACATTATAGCCCTAAACTAGGCAAATCCTGTATCTTAGGCACTAAATACGCAGAGTTTCTTAATTTAATTTGAATTTTCAACTTTGCCTAAGTAGGTAAATTGTTAATTTAATGATTCCTCTGTTATTTACCTATAACCAAATCCATTAAAACCAAATTGCAAATTTTCACGTAACTATTTATTTGTTTTTACCATTGATATTAGTAACTTATTGTATCATAAGAAACAACGTTATCTTCAAATAATAACCTAAACCTTACTTCTGCAGTGTAATTCAGTGCACTCATAACAGATGGCGCTAGTGTAATGTTAACAATATTCAGTTTGGTTTGTGGTATCTATTCCTTTTATTTATTTATTTATTAAGCTTTATTCACACAAATTTCTGTACATAGGCGGACTTAATGCCGTAGGCATTATCTACCAGTCTGACCTTTGGGTGATGCAGAGATGAGTAAAAACGGTGAGCGCAAGCAGCAAAATTTTAAAGACTAAAACAAAGACTCAATATAATAATGTATAAATTTAATCAAATTCAATAACAACAATTTATAAAACCGAATGGAACATAAAAGTTATCATAAATAATAATTGGTCCAGAAATATTGTTGGCGCAGACTCTGTTATAAGGCATTATAAGTACCTACTCCAGAATATTAATTTTGTATCCTATCTTATGAATTAACATAAAAAAATAGACGCGCTTCCAACTCATAATATATTTAACCATGGAGTTTCTAGCTCGTTCTTCTCCATAGAAATCTACACTTTGGACCGAGCAAATAGCTTCACTAGAGGACTGACTGACAGACTGACACTTTAAACCTTTAAGCTTTGTTTGACGTTTAAAAGTCCCTGTAAGGGTCTTATTGAAATAAATGATTTTGGGATGTTGCTCACATCATCCCATCATCAGCCTATAAGTGTCCATTGCTGAGCAAAGGCCTCTTCTCACACGGAGAAGGTTTGAGCTATCATTGTGGCACCCGCTTCTCATGCATGAGTGTGCGGGAACGAAACCTGGCCAGTACCAATGTGACTTTTTCCAAGTTATAATGCACTTTTTATGATTATTAAGACGCCACTCACATAGGTACGGTGAAGGAAAAATATCGTGAGGAAACCTGGACTTGAAATCGCCAATCCGTCTTGAGCAAGCGTGGTGTTTAATACTCAAACCTTCTCCGTGTGACGTCGATCAAATAATTCGCAGTGTTGAGAATAAGTACCTTCCTATCTAAGCGAAGCAGTGTCAAAACGCTAGTATAGTATAGATATAATTATAAATCCATTATCCGACGTCCAGTTACGTCAATCTAACTTTAATTACATGTTGACATTGACGTATTCTTTGTAATAATTTATTTACAATTATAGGCGTACGTAGCTCCCTTATTAAAGCAGATATATACCTACATTATTGTTCGTACAATAAAGAAAGAAAAGAAAGAAAAACATTTATTTGAGACTCGCACAGAAAATAAATACAATTACATTTTATATATACAAAAAGAAAAAACAAACAAAAATAATAAACAGAACAACAACAAAAAAATATTAAAATAAAATAAAAGACCTGTGCGAGGTCAAAAAGGCCACTATCTCAGCATATGCTGCGATAATTCACCAGTAGGTAAAAATACCGCAGCGCTGGTATTCTGATAGGGCCTGGTGATGCCACGGACACACTCACGGAACACAGAAACAGATTAACATATATAAATATATAGAGATATATAAATATTAGATATATATAAAAATTATAATATATATATATATACTTACAGCTAAAATCTAATAAATGCGACAAAATGAAACGGGAGCTTCAGTAACAGTAACAGTTTTGACTGCACGCTACGATCTGTAGCGTGTATGAAACTACAAAAAAATAAACAAAAGCCAAGCGAGTAAAGCCGCATGGGGAAACATTGGTAATAAAACAAGATATTAAAAAATATGTATGTATAAGGATTATAAGGAACTGGTTTAAACCGCTGTATAGGAAGATAATTATCTGTGGTATCTAAATGAATGTTGATCTAGGTCATAACTATTATGATATGTAGATAAATATAAAATTATTTACATGTATAAAACACTAGCTATTCTCGCGCGGTTTCACCCGCTGCTCGGCTCCTTTTGATCGTAGCGTGATGTTTTATATCCTATAGCACTCAGGAACATTGTAGCTATCTATCAGTGAAAGAATTTTGGCTGGTAGAGAATGCTTATTGCATTAAATCCGCTTATCTAGTGTTTTATGCATGAAGTCTCAAATAAATAAATTAAAAACACTCCGTTTTCGCTCCATCAAGAGATAAGAAATACATTGGATCATTTCCCCCCTAAAAAATAGCCATGCTTCGGCACGAATGGGTCAGCTTGACCGGAGTGATACCACGGCCTCATGTAATACGCTTGCGTTGAATTTTGGCCTTATGAGTGAGGTTATCGGAAGGCCCGATCCTTAAAGTTAAATTTTAATTTCTCTAAGGGCTGTTTTTCAATGGTTAGATAAAAGTTACCTGGGGAACAATTATGATGCTGTCGCGTCAGAATGTTTGTATAAGACAGTGACAGTAACAATTTTATTACTCAGATAACATTTATATGACTATTGAAAAATCTGTTCTAATTATGTAGGTACTTAAATAGATAGAGTCTGTCTTTTGTTAAGGAGATAATTATTATTATTTGTTAATTATCGATAATTGAACTCATATTTATAAAAGTAAAAAAACCTTATCAACATTATTTACTTACGAAAAACATAAACTTTAATATAAAAATAGAGAAATGAAATATAAAAATCATTCTAAAAGAACGAACAAAGAGATATGATTCCGGCCAGGATCGAACTGGCGGCCTTCTGCGTGTAAAGCAGATGTGATAACCACTACACCACGGAACCAGTTGAAGTTAAATTCAAAATAGCTATTCTAATACTTTGTTCGATTTATCTTATTCTTTGTTTTCTGATAATAGAAAAAGATAAAGTTCTTAAAATACACAATCATAATTACATTTACCAATTTAATAGTACACTAGCTAATCTCGCGCGGTTTCACTCGCTGCTCGGCTCCATTTGATTGTAGCGTGATGATCTAGCTAGCCTACTAGCTCTTACCCGCGGCGTCGCTCCGCGGGGCGTACCGACCCTACTCTACCTACCCTACTCTACCTACCCTACTCTACTTACCCCACTCTACCTACCCTACTCTACCTAACCTACACTACCTACTTTATCCTATCCTACCCAAGTAACACAGACATGCTGAATAGTGTTTGAGTAAAAGTAATTCGAAAATATTTACAGATAATTATAAGCTCCATAACGTGTGAGGAAAGTGTTGAAATAGCCAAATTCTGAATAATTTTCTCTTTCTGCCTTAATAGCCATTTATGCTTAATAAAAGTTGTATTAAGGTCGACTATTATTTTTAAAGCTTAGTAATAACTTCTGTACATAGTATTAAGCCTAAAGCATTACAGGTGACTTTTATTTGAAAAAGATTGCCCGGGTCAGCATTTATCTGTATAATAGTATAAGTAGCTGAATAAACGTAATTATCTAATACTAATAAACGAACTTTTCTCAGCTTATTGCTTGCTTATGAAACCACCATACTCTGTAAAACTGTGACCACGGCAGCTGTCTTCTATATATCCTATCCTATATCCTATCCTATGTCCTTCTGCCATTTCAGCTATTTTCTTTCTTTATTTTTTTTATTGATTATGTATCTACCTACATTTTTAATGTTTATGGTAAAGCTGCTTTATGGCTAAGCTTACATCCGTAGCATGTCATGCACAAAGGTCCAGCTGAAAACCAGCGTCAGGCCCAAGTGGTCTGGCATTTATGCTGAACTGCTGTTTGGCGCAGCCGTGAGGCACACAGTTATGTAGTTTTCTTTATTTTTTCTTTTATATTAAATAACCTTTTTGTTACTATGTCTGTGTGCACATGGTTTGTGTTAATAAACTTTTTCTTTCTTTTTTCAGTTCTTAGCTACCTGCCGTTCTTGAGTTATAAATGGAGTAACTAACACGACTTTCTTTTATATATATGTATATAGATAGTTGGATTATCTACAGAACCCTAAGAAAGGGCATTCGTTACCTTATTATAGCAACAAACCAGTTCACACCAGTTATTAGACTTATTACTTATAATAAAATAAACTTAAAACTTATAAAAATAATTATATCTAGGTACATAAATAAAACAACAACAAAAAATAATATTCATTTATTTCATTACAAATTATTATTATTACACACATACACCACGAAACTGTACTTTTTAATTTAAATAATTATATATTTATTTTGTATTTGAGTTTTTTTTTGTTTTATAAAAATGAATAAATTAATTTATAAAATTATAAGTTATTATAATAAAAATTTTATTATATATAAAAGACATCACAATACGACCTTCTCGACGACACGACTTGCCTTCAGACTTATTCTGCCATCTGAAATATGAAAAACAATAATATGAATAAGTACCGAAACCATTAAGTACCGAAAAAGTATAGGAATCTACATTTTGGAACGAGCAAATTGTTTCAATAGAATTCAGACCGACAGACCGGTTAATAACTTCTTACGTTTAATTGTGTTCAAAAGTGCGTACCTACCTTTAATAGTTTAATATCTAGACTTGACTTTGACTTTGACTTTGACATTGATTTTGAGTTTGACTTTGACATTGATTTTGAGTTTGACTTTGACATCATTTTTTACTTTGACTTTGACTTTGCCTTTGATTTAAAGGCGGTAATATAGGCATATGCATAGGCTTCTGCCAGCGACTTTGCCCAGTGTAGGTACCATGGTAAACAGTAGGTAGCTTATGTGTTATTCCAGACTATAATCTACCTCTGTGCCAAATTTCATTCGGATCCGTTTAGTAGTTTTACGTATTAGAGTAAAAAAAATATCGATCAATACTTACAAACTCTAGGGGTAATATAGGTTTTCAAAATCAAAAGTAAAAAAAAATTGATAGTCTGACATGATTTTAGAATTAAATGTAAATAAAAATTCAGAAACTTTGTCCTTTCAAAATGATGATTAATATAAAAGGTATTAAAATAAAGATCAAATATTAATCTGAGTATTTTTGTCTAACACGGAACTCAAAGCCTTTTGATACTTATAATGCACATTAATTATTTAAAAATAACAAATGCAAAAGAATATTTTTATAATATAACATTTATATGGAACTCCTACGTGCATTGCATTGCATAAAAAAACATTACAATAAAATAAAATAATATGTATACATATAAATCTACTTACCTCATTTAACTAAGAACCACCAATCACCCGAAAACATGTTTCGAATAACAAAACATACGGAAAAAAACAAAACACATGGAAAAAAACGAAAAACAAAAAAAACACACACACACAAAAACACCAAGCTTATTGTAAAAACACACATGCTAATCCAATATTTTTTGCCAATATAATAATATAGACAATAGCTTGTAACTCTTTTTAAAAGCGTCTCAGAAGGCCAAAAAAGCTTTGATCACCACACTTGCTTATCCCGCTGGCGATATAAGTCACTTTGAAGCAAATGCCTCTTCTCACACGGAGAAGGTTTGAGCATTAATCACAACGCTTGCTCAAGGCGCATTGGCGATTTCAAACTTATAATTAGAAATTATAAGTCTAGGTTTCCTCACGATGTTTTCCTTCACCGTTTGTCAGTGGTGTCTAAATAATCTCAGGAATCACTCATGCATAAATTTTAAAATGGCGTCAATTGAACTAATTGCATTTACTTCCAAAATTGAACTCAAGCCCAAAGCTCCAAAAAACATCAATGCTTTTTAATGACCTCACACATTATCCCTAATCTTACCCATTATTTGCCAAAAAAAAACAAAACACAAAAAAACACGAAAAAAAATCCAAAACACTATGTCGCAGGGATATGATAAAATCAGGGATTTGGCCAAATCCCTAAGGGATTTGATCAAATCACGGAGGATGTTAAAATTACAACACGTTTTTATCATTTCCCTAAGCAAATCTAGTGATTTGACAAATGTCACTAAAGAAATCTAGTGATTTGAGCAAATCCATAAATTGGTTCAGTGAAATGACAAAAATAACTTTTGAGATATTTTTAAGGTTTATTTTGTAAGATTACCTACATAATTATAATAATCAGGTATATCACAATGCAATACTAATCTCAAAAATCACCACTAGAACATTACTAATTCAAAAAAGAGAAACAAAAATAAAAAAAAATATAAGTAGAATAACTTAACGTATCATACGTTAAGTTTAAGTTAAGGTGCGGTCACTGACAAGCAAGTGCGAGCGCGACGTTTTAATAGGTCGGCAAACGAGCAGACGGATTACCTGATGGTAAGCAATCAGCAAGCAACGGAGGAGTTACGAGTGCGTTGCCGACAATTTAGGGATTAGGGATTTGGAGATTAAGGGATTGAGGAGGGATTGGGGGAGGGGAAGGATTGGGCCTCTGGTAACCTCACTCACACGCCGAAACACAACGCTGTGGTTGTTTCACGCCGGTTTTCTGTAAGGCCGTGGTATCACTCCGGTCGAGCCGACCCATTCGAGCCGAAGCATGGCTCTCCCACACTTCGTAAACAAGAACTGGACATGTTTTATTATCATTTCACTAAATAAATTTAGGGATTTGTTCAAATCACTAGATTTGCTTAGGGAAATGATAAAAACGTGTTGTTATTTTAACATCCTCCGTGATTTGATCAAATCCCTTAGGGATTTGGCCAAATCCCTGATTTTATCATATCCCTGCGACAACTATATCAAACTAGGTTTATCATGCAAACAAAAAACAAGTAAACAGAATTCCTAGATAATGCGTAGGTAGATAAAAAAAGATAAGGACAAAACAATAATTAAGCACTTATTACAATTCTAAGTTACTTTAGATCAATCGGAAATAAAAACAGGTAGCCTACGATAGCTGTTTTTCAAGGAGAAAATCATCGAATAACCTCACCGGCCCAAGGGGGGAGAAATCATCAAATGACTTCTCTCGACTAGGATAAGGCGAGAGGAAGTCAGAGTCTCGTCAGACTGGCTAAAAACCCCCCGTTCCTTCTGCTCTATGCCGAGGCCGTGGAGTACCTTATTGCGCTTACCCCGCAACCCCGGCTGAACATCAGCCCTGTCAGGCCCCATCTGTTTCTGCTTCAAAGAACTTTTGGTTCTTTGAAGCAGGTTTTAAAGAGGGTTTTTTTTTGTGAGGGTAAAATAATCAAACGACTTCTCCCGACCAGGACCGGGCGGGAGGGAGTGACAGACTCTTACTGACTAAAAACTCCCCTGTTCCTTCTCCTGCTCTGGGCCGAGGTCGCGGTGCCTCATTGCGCTTACTCTGCAACCCCGGCTGAGGTTTTAAAGAGGGTGTCATGGGGTGTCAGACTCTTACTGACTCAGAACCACTTCCTTATGTCAAAGCATTCAAAGTATTTTCGATTTGTGATTGTGTTTTAACACGATTCTATTAGGTCGACTTGAAACAAAAGCTTTAGTAAAATCTAAGAACCTGAATTACACACATTTTTAATTGTTGTATCATCATGAAACTTGGCAATTGTGTGTGGAGTAGATGACAATACAATATAATGGTACCGTCGAGCTGGTTTGGTGATGGAGTTGGAAGGTCCCTGATGGAACCTTGGACTGTCAACTAGTAATCATATTGAGTTTTTGCTCATTGGATCTGTCTGGAGGACCTTTGATTAAAAGACTGTTGCAAAAAGCAATTTTTGCTATCTTTTTTGAATTTATGCCATTTGGAATTTCCACGCGACATAAAAACAATATACGTTTGTTTTTTTCTATTCCGTGGGATTTTTTTATTAGGTAGTAAATACAGTTTGGGATTTTACCTGTAATAATTAGCTATTTAAATAAGGTATCTTATAATTTATTATTATAACAAAAATTCAAATTGAGTTGCATTTTGTAGTATTTTACGGCCTAATTTCAAAACAAGATTTTTCTATTGTCTAGGGGGCTCTACCATGACGTGTTAAAACGTCAATCTTCCGGGTGAGAAAGAGGGATGGAGCTCTACACCTTTTATAGCTCCATCCCTCTTTCTCATCCGGAAGATTGACGTTTTAAAACGTCATGGTAGGCCTACAGGTCTAAACAATTTAGCCAGTTTTTGTATTTCGAATTGAAGAGGTGAGAATAAGATTCTAAATACAAAACCTGACTCAATGGTTTAAACGTAGAATAAAGATAAATCTTGTTTTGTAATAAGGTGGTTACTTAGAGTTGGGAAAATGTTCAAATGACTCCCGCCTAGGGTGGGGCGGGAGGGAGTCAGGCTCTTACTGACTAAAAACCCCCTGTTACTTTTCCTACTAGAAGATCGAGGCCAACAACTCAGGCTGTCTTAATAATAATATGTCGTGCTTGATAAGTTAGGTTATATGAATGTGATATTCGCAAAAGAAGTATGTAAGGAGCTCAACAGATGGCGCTTTATAGTGTTTTTATACCGAAGGATAAAAACAGGAGATTATTTATGTACCGTAAAACGGGGTTACTAGAATTTGAGAGGGTGAAAAGATATACGAAAGGGGTTAATAGATAGATACTGGCGAATTTTCTAATTTATTTATTTACCCCTCTTCTTTCTGTATCCACCCCTACAATTGTATTTTTTTACCGTGTTTGTACCTATATTATGTGTGAAAACTTAATTTCTCTTTAGCGTCTACTTTGAGTACTTAAATTAAGATAATTTTTCGCTGTTTTGACGTAGGTAAGCAACAAAATTAAAGTGACATATTTTATACCTAACTAGCAAATCCGGCGAAATCCGTTTCGTCACCAGATGTAGATATTTCAAAAAGTTTGCGCTGTGTGTGCAAAAGACATTTTCCCTCTTTTCATTTGATTTTTTCCTGAATTTTCTTTACTATAAACCTCACCAAGCTCGAGACGAAATCGGTTCGTGTGTTCTGGAGTAATAGGGTCAGGAAGGACAACCCAACTTATTTTTATATAGTAGAAAGAGGGTAACATTTGGTTATTTGGTTATTCGTAAATTCAGAAACTGATTGACTGATTTGATAAATTCTCTGAGCATCAGAGAGCTTAGTTGTCTTGAAGTAATATATAAGCCGATTTTTTATTCCGATATTTCTAAAACATCGAGACTTATCGAGAGAAATGTTAATTCCACAGAACATCTGCAAGTGAAAACCAAAATTATTACAGACTAGTTTCACAATTCCAGTGTAAAAAGTAAGCCTATGTAGTATTCCTGTCTATATCCTATCTCTGTGCCAAATTTCGTTCAGTTCCGTTCAGTAGTTTTTACGTGAAAGAGTGACAAACATCCCTCACTACTCCGTACGCGCGAAAAAGTGACTTCCTGCAGATTTTTGGTATGAAAACTATCCTATGTCCTTTCTCGAGTTCCAAACCAATATCTGTACCGAATTTCACAGAAATCGGTTCAGTAGTTAAGGCGTGAAGAAAAGACAGACAGACAGAGTTACTTTCGCATTTAATTTCATAATTTTAGTTTGGATTACTTCTGGTTGTATAATGTCAACGTTATAAAGAACACAACGGAACGTTGCCTGTCACACCGGTTCTAAAATTAAATTAAATTTTATAAAAAATACTTGATTTTTTTTCAACTTGAAACAACGTAAGTGTAGTTTTAAAACCTCTTGTTTATTTGTATTTCTCAAGGTTATGCGCTATAAACCCGATGTTTTGACGTAATAATATTTTATTAGGCGAGTTTTTTTAGGGAAAATGCACGCTTAATATTGATTCTATTGTCTCGTTCGCCATCTCAAGCAATGACGTATCTCAAGGTATTAGACGCCATCTTGTATTTTTTCATCGCCATAATGTTTTATCATAGACAAATTGAATACGTTTTTCGAATTAATATTGGAAATCGTCAGTTTTGAATGTTTTTTTAATTATTTAAATTTTAATGTTGGTAGGTACTTATGTCGTAAACTGTAAGTGTGTGAGACCGCCAGACCGGAGTGATACCACGGCCTCACAGAAAACAAGCGAGAAACAACAACATCGTTGTGTTTTACCGTGTAAGTGAGGTTACCGGAGGCCCAATCCTACGCCACCCCTAATCCCTAAATCTCGAAATCCCTTATCCCCAAAAGGTCGGCAACGTAACTCCTCTGTTATTCGGGGCGGCACTGATAGCTTACCATCAGGTAATCCGTCTGCTCGATTACCGATCTATCACATATAAAAAAAGAAAAATAAACTAGTCCTTGACTGCAATCCCACCTGGTGGTTTGTATACTTTGCATTATGACGTCTTTTTATACGTCAATTCTTAGAAATTAGCTAAAAAAATTACGAATAAATAAATAAAAAATGTTTTTTTTTTCATTTTGCTGCATTCAAAGTTCGAAATCATTAGTTTTTTGCTAAACCAAAAATACTTGACGCGTTCGAAAAAAGAAATGCTTCGATTATGTTTGTCTAAAAGAAAACCATTCCTAATTTATTTATAACATTTATGCTCAGAATACAGAACAAACCAGAAGGCGTTATCGCGCTTAAAACAGAAGCAACTAAAACCACTCTTTACTATAGTAGTATGAAATTTCTACGATTAGTCAATTTTGGCACGTGGCATGTCGTGACGTATTTACGAGTATCAATTTTAATTTCATTATGCCGTCTTGTGTTATTACTACGAGTAAAAATGCGGCTGGATATACGAAAAAAGTGGATAAGATTAAATTTCATCTACAAGCATCGACTGCAATAGTATGTTTAATTAATTATTGATTTTCTTTTACCGATTTATTTTTCTATGACAATGATGCGGCCATTTTGTGAGTGTTGTCATTTTTGGTGTAAATTTTACCCACTTATTTATTTGTTGTGAGTTATATTGTTGTCCATTGTGGAACCTTTGTCATATTAGTTTTAAAACGGATAAAAAACACATTTACTAAAATTAAAATGGACAAAAAAACACATTTACTATACACGTTGTGTATAGTCGGTGTAATTAAAATTAACACAGCCAGAAATCATCAACTTTTATGATACCTGCATGAAATGTGTAAACAACTAGTCTGTTGCAATTATCGTAAGTTTCCCTTTATATTTATTTTGGGTTTTCCCAATAAAATATATCTTACCCTCCTGTTGTAAAATTACCCCAAACCAAGGGAATTGTTCCACTGTCGGCAACACTACGCGGGTGGGAAGTGCGGCTGGCGGGGGGATTGACGTATTGTTTTTGGACACATTTGACGACATGTAATTATGAGTGAACGCGGCTTCTGGTTTGTTCTGTATTCTGAGGACGAGACAGCATTATAAATTATTCCCCAGGTAACTTAACCATTGAAAAATGAGCCCTTAATAAATTAAATGCGATTTTTTATTTAGATACTACTTTACGTACCTACCTAATATTTATTGATATTAGGTACCTAATATGTATTATTGATCTATAAATACCTATTCAAGTTTAATACGAAAACAAAAGAAAAGAAAAATATTTGCAAAAAATGTGACCATGATGACAGTGACATGTATCAAAATGACAAAGTTTTTTTTTAATTTTGTTTTTAAAAATTTGTATAGTAACTCATTATACTGCCTTGTTTCACACAGTCTTCTAAATGTGGGAGAGCCATGCTTCGGCACGAATGGGTCGGCTCGACCGGAATGACACCACGGCCTCACAGAAAACAGGCGTGAAACAACCACAGCGTTGTGTTTCGCCGTGTAAGTGAGGTTACCGGCTTTCGCGGTATTATTGTTTTTCTATTATGTCTAGAATTACCACGATTGTATGTTTATTTTATTTTAACTCTCAAAAAGGTAAACGAACGAATTAAACAAACAATAAATTGGACTTTGATGTTTATAAAACAGTCATTATGACTTTTATTGAACGAATGAGTGAATGACTTGACAGTTTTTTTTTAATCATCCGCCTGACGTATGTTTTTAAGTCGTTGGTCGACTAGATCTTTCCGCATCGGTAGTCGATTACAAAGGTCAAATACAGCCGATTATAATTTGACTTTGACTAATCTTCATTATTGATTTTTTTTATTGCTTTTTTAATGTTATTTTTATTGTGTGATATCGAAGAACAGATGAAAAAAATATCTCACTCCTTACTACTTACTATTAAATAAATGCGAAAGTTACGATGTTGGCATGTTTGTAACTCAATCACTCCAAAACGGTTGGACGGATCTGAGAAAGCATATTATAACGTAACAATATTTCACGAATGGGTCGGCTCGACCGGAGTGATACCACGGCCTCACAAAATACCGGCGTGAAACAACCCACAGCGTTATGTTTCGCCGTGTGAGTGAGGTTACCGGAGGCCCAATCCCTTCCAATCCCCTATCCCTTCCCGATCCTTATATGCCCCAACCCCTATCCCCAAAAGGCCGGCAACGCACTCGTAACTCCTTTGGTGTTGCGGGTGTCCATGGGCGTCGCCGATTGCTTACCATCAGGTAATCCGTCAGCTCGTCTGCCGCCTTATACCACAAAAAAAAAATACAGAATACATCACTGAGAAAGATTTTTAAGATAGTGTTTTATATAAGTAATTTTGTAGTGTTATACCTACTATTTTGTGATATTTTAAAATTGTATTAAGTACCGTAGTACATTAAATTGGGTGTCTTTTGTATGTCAGCATGGTAAAATATGGCTGTAGGTACTATTTCTTTATTTTCTCTGCCATATTTTTTTACCCGTACCTATTTGCAAAATAAAAGTATCTTTACCTTTATTTTACATGAAGATGACACATTTTTTTCGATTCCCATATTGGTCCTTTAGAAAAAAGTCGTTATAATTGAGCACTAAAATGAATATATCCCTTATTCATGCTACTCTGTATAAAAAACACACACAGGCACAACCACAAAATGCAGTATTTTTTCATTATAAAAACATTCATAAAGGTATTTAAACAAATGCCTATCGTAAAATATAGATTCTCGTAAAAGATGGATACTTTCGAAGCTATCATAATGACTACTTAATATAAAACAAAGTCGCTTTCTCTGTCCCTATATCCCTATGTACGCTTAAATCTTTAAAACTACGCAACGGATTTTGATACGGATTTTTTTAAAAGATAGAGTTATTGAAGAGGAAGGTTTATATGTATAATAACATCTTTTAAATAGTGGAGAAAATAAGTATCAGCATTGAAGCTGGGACGGGTCGCTTGTTATATTATAACCAGCTTTTGCCCGCGACTTTTTTTTTTAATGTTATAGGTCGGCAAACGAGCAGACGGATTACCTGATGGTAAGCAATCAGCGCCGCCCATGGACACCCGCAACGGAGGAGTTACAAGTGCGTTGCCGACCTTTTAGGGATTAGGGATTTGGAGATTTAGGGATTGAGGAGGGATTGAGGGAGGGGAAGGATTTGGCCTCCGGTAACCTCACTCACACGGCGAAACACAACGCTGTGGTTGTTTCACGCCGGTTTTCTGTGAGGCCGTGGTATCACTCCGGTCGAGCCGACCCATTCGTGCCGAAGCATGGCTCTCCCACACTTGTATCATGCTGGTTGGATACCTTCGTTCTGTTTTTACCGACTTCAAAAAAAGGAGGAGGTACTATGTTCGGCTGATTGTGTTTTTTCTTTGTATATTCACCGGTTACTCCGCCATTTATGAACAGATTTCCGAAATTATAGTTTTGTTTGAAAGGTGTGACTTCAAGATTATAATATGGTTATTAATATTATTTTCTATTTAATTAACTAAAAACATGTATTAATTTCTACAAAGGAAATTTATTTTTTGCTTTTTAGTAAGGGGTTTTTGAAGTCAGAGTATTTTTGTTAAAAATTATTAGGTGTAGTCACAGGGTGCGTAGTGATTCGAAACGTTTATAACAATTTGTAGATAGGCATTTGTCTAGATCCTTTTTTTATTTTAGGTCCAAAAGTTTGTGTCGTGGAACGATTCATTGATTTTAATTATAACCTTATAATATACATACAAAAATCGATATGTTAGCTTTAGGTCGGCAAACGAGCAGGATTACCTGATGGTTAGCATTTGTTTTGTAGATTTCCAAAATCCATTTGACTTGAAATCAAATAACTTAATTCTCCTTTAACCAACTTTGAAGATTTAGTGTTTTCAACAACTATCTAGTTGATTGATTTTCTATCTATCTTTTTTTCTTTCTTTCTTTTCTTTTAAAAAAACGTTGCCCCAATTTAGGATTTTCTCCTGTGTTGTGGGTGCGTTTACAAACATACAATGTCACATACACATGACACCCAGACCCGAAACAACAATCTGTGGATCACACAAAGTGTTGTTTCGTAAAATCGAACCCGCGACACGTTGCACGGCAGCCAGTTGCCCAGCCACCGCACCAATCGTGCAGTCTATCCTCAAAAGACAGGCCATATTATTCTACTAAAAGCAATGTTGCGGATGTACGTTGACGACATCGAATGCTTACTATCAGGCTATCTACCAACAACACATTTGCCGCCAGTAAAAATTAAATAAACGACTTAATTTTTTCAATAGCGAGACAAAAACTTCTGGATCCTTTGCAAAAAAGCCATGCGACTTACCTTTCCCCAAAAATCCTGTACCACCAGTCAAAAACACACACTGATCCTTATAAAACTCTTGGATCTCAGTTTTAGGGCCTTTACCCTTAGTTAGCTTCTTCTTCTCCTCTTCTTTAGCGTCCAATTTGTCTTCTTCTGCGTAGTAAGTGTCCTTGTTGTCGGGCACGAACTCATGGTCTTCTGAGAAGTCCAGGATCTGAGCTGTTGGGTTCATAGCTTGGTTCTCCACTTCGGCAATGCGAACTGAGTTCTCCAATTCCTGTTGGTTGAGAGAAATATGTTTAGGGACTTCTGGAATTATTGTGTTTTTCACAATTTTGTTACTTGTCCAATTTGATGTGGTCCTGTATTATTTGTTTATTTATTTCATTAGGATCTCCAACAGACAATACACATTACATGTGCAATATTAAAAAAAATACAATAGATTTGTGCTCCTCCAATTATAGGAGACCACATCATGCAAAAAATGACTATACTAAAGAATTACCTAAATATTTAGCACCTTTATATTATGTAGATTGAAAACTTATGGATTCATGCCCAGGGTCTCCAATACCATTATTATGTTGGCTGTATGGGATCCCCAAAATGTATATTTTAATTTGTTTTAATTATTACTTGCACCAACTACGCATCAAGCTATTTAAAAAAAACCTTACCCCACACTAGGATTTTCTCCTGCGTCGTGGGTAACAAACATACAATTTCACATAAACATCTCACCCAGACCCGAAACAACAATTTGTGAATCACACAAAGTGTTGTTCCGTGCGGGAATCGAACCCGCGACACGTCGCTCGGCAGCCTGCTACCCAGCCACTGCACCAACCGTGCAGTCATATTATTTATCACGATTCATTAAAAAATTGCTTGGTGAAAAGAAGACACATAGACGCATAGATGTTCCCTTTTTGAATAGAGAATCGTATAATGGTTATGAAAAAGCGTAGGAGAGCCATGCTTGGGCACGAATGGGTCGGCTCGACTGGAGTGATACTACGGCCTCACAGAATACCTGCATGAAATAATTGAAGCGATGTGTTTTCCCGTGTGAGTGAGGTTGGCAGAAGCTCAAACTTTCTTCCCCTTCCTCATCCAATTTCTATATACCCTAATCCCCAAAAGGCTAGCAAAGCAATCGTAACTCTTCTTGAGTTTCGGATGCCCATGCAAAATTGCCATTTTATCACATTTAAAAAAAACTCACATGAAGATTGTCCTGCAGCTCTTTGCTTAAATTCCTGACGTTCTCCAGTTCCTTCAGCATCTTGTCTGTCGGTTTCCCGTAGACATCGATGTCCAACTTCTCCCCCTTGACCTGGGCGTCCACCCATTTATCCATCTTCTCCCGAGTGACCGGCGTCTGCGATAAGGGTGATTTCTCTGCTGTGTAGTTCATTCTGTAAAAAGATAATATTGAGAATTAGTGCCATTCTTCTAGAAGGGAAGAGCCAGTAATCCAACATGGCTGCAATATCTGTCTCATTTTTTTTACTTTCTGCATCCTATGGGTTACGGGATGGCAGACGTGGCAGTGTGGGAGAGCCATGCTTTGGCATGAATTTGCAGGCTCGACCGGAGTGTCGAGTGGAGGCCTTAGAGAAGGCCGCGAAACAACGCTTCCGTTGTTTCGCTATGTCAGTGAGGTTTTCGCTGGCAAAATCTGAACTGAACAGTTTACGCGGTGGCAACCGGCAGCTGGAGGGAAAGGACTGGACGCTACCCTCACTCACACGACGAAACATTAAGCTGTGATAGTTTCACGTCGGTTTTCTGTGAGGCCTTGGTATGACTCTGGTCGAGCCGACCCATTCGTGCCGAATCATAGGTCTCTTACATTTAAATGGTTAGTATCAGGCAAACCTATTTCAATATACCTACAGAATGAAATACATTTTGAAATCAAAAACGACATATTATTTCAAAGATTACTTGATAATTCTTGAGTAAAATTATTACTTAAGTAGTTAACATAAGAACGTCAAGTTTGAGCGCTAGGCATTTGTTATAGAAGGTTAATTGACAGGTTCTATACATTAACATGATCAAGATAGGGTTTTAGTTTATCGATTCAAGTCAGTATCATTTTGAAATACCTATGGCAAGATCATAATCTGTATTCAGAAAATTCGACCGCAGTACCGTAATACCCAATGTGTTATTACTGTAAGCGCATGTCTGCGGACGGCGAGCTAGTGTAGCTGGTCATCATCATCATCATCATCAGCCTATAAGTGCCCACTGCTGAGCAAAGGCCTCTTCTCACACGGAGAAGGTTAGAGCATTAATCACCACGCTTGCTCAATGCGGGTTGGTGATTTCAAACTTATAATTAGAAATTATAAGTCCAGGTTTCCTCACGATGTTTACCTTCACCGTATGTCAGTGGTGTCTAAATAATCATAGAATGTACATATAACTCGGAAAAAGTCACATTGGTACTTGCCAGGTTTCGAACCCGCACCCTCATGCATGAGAAGCGGGCGCCTTAACCTCCGGGCCACCACGACATGGTAGCTGGTCGCCCGAACAGAATTAAACCTGGCCGGGATTGCAGGGCAAGTGCAAGATACCGCGGCCTCGGCCAAGAGCAGGACAAGGAACAAGGGGTTTTTGGTCAGTAAGAGACTGACACTACCTCTCGTCTCACCGTGGGCGAAAGAAATAATTGAGTGATTTCCCCTCCACAAAAAAGCAAGATCATAATCTGTGTTTATGTCATCGTCATCATCAGCCTATAAGTGCCCACTGCTGAGCAAAGACCTCTTCTCACACGAAGAAAGTTTGAGCATTAATCACCACGCTTTTTTTAAAGCATTTATTTTTGTTTTTAACGACAATTTTACAAAAATTATACTTCTGCCAAACTGGGTTGGATTGGATTGGCGATTTCAAACTTAAAATTAGAAATTTTCCAGGTTTCATTACGATGTTTACCTTCACCATGTATATCAGTGATGTCTAAATAATCATAGAAAGTACATATAACTCGGAAAAAGTCACATTGGTACTTACTTGCCAGGTTGCGAAAACCATCATGCATGAGATGCGGGCGCCTTAACCTCGGTACCACCACGACCTTAGTATTAACTAGTAAAAGTATCCTATGTATTACTTTTTCCAGATTATAATATTTTTGCGCTAGGGAATCGCAATTTTTTCAATTTTATAATACCATTGTATAAGCTCTCCACGAACTCGGCAATTTTCGTCATTTTTACATTATCTAAGTATTATTATTTCTTCGAATAGTACCTACAGCAAGTTTTTTTTTTGTTATTTTTTTCATAACTTTGTCATTACATTACATTATTGAAGTAAAACAAGCGGACCTTTAAAATATTAAGCGTTCACTTTCAAAATCAAGTTGTTTCAAGTCAAGGTGCGTATTAAGTTTCTCAATATTTAACAAAAATTTACTCGTTGTTCGTTTTTGCGTCCGCAAATATGATAATAATTACTTTAGTAAGTACCTAAGTATGTATAAGGTTAAATATAAAATATTTTTCTCTATAATTAGTTATTGGTGCAATGAAACAATCAATTTATTTTTGCCAATAGGCCATAAAACGGCACTTTTACAAGTCAATTTATATGTGAAAAACTAGATGAAGCCGGCATTTCCTATCTGACTACTCTGAGAAGAAATGCCGAAACAAACTCAGAAGTCCGTCTCTTTTCAAGTCCAGACAATCCGGTGCGTTCTTATAATGATTAAGGTGAGAGAGGAATATCATTATATCTCTTTTCTCCCTCTATGTGAGGCAAGTCGGAGTGTCAGACTCTTAGAAAGAAAGAAAGAAAGAAAATATTTATTTGTGAGAATGTAGTACAAATATAGGTGTTTGTGTTATGTGTATGGAATCACACACATTCTACCGAATTGGTGTACAAATTATTTAGCTTAATATCTAGTTATAACTATGAACTACTTATTCTAAGTCTATGATAGGTCATCTAAATAATCTTTAGTGGAATAATAACATTTATTTAGCAAAATCTCAAACAATTTTCTTTTAAACAGACTAAAAACCCCCCCGTTCCTCCTCCTGCTCCGAGTTTGTAGTACATAATTGTACCTTTATAGGATTAGGTAACCATGGAGTTTATCTTGCTCGTTCTTCTCCATAAGAATCTACACTTTGAAACGAGCAAATAGCTTCACTAGAGGACTGACCGATGGACGGACAATTTTTGTGTGTCTATGTCAAATAAATTGACTTTGACTTTGATTTTCAAATTGACATTGATGTCCAAAAGTGTCTTAAATGTCTTAATTACATGTAATGATTTTAAATAGTAACCTACGTGTTATTCCAGTCTATAATCTATCTCTGTGCCAAATTACATTCAGATCCGTTCAGTAGTGTTTACGTGAGAGAGTAACAAACATCCATCCGTACTTACACACTTTCGCGTTTATAATATTATATGTAGAGAGTTAGTAGGAATAAAATTAATTTGAAATGTACCTACATTAATTTGAAGTATAAGAGACCCGACATTTTTTTTATAAAAACAAAATATAAAGATGAATTTCATAATTGTAATCATACTTAATCACCACGCTTGCTCAAGACTGATTGGCGATTTCAAACGCATATAAGAAACTAGCTACTCTCACGCGGTTTCACCCACTGTTCGGCTCCTACAGATCGTAGCGTGATGATTTACAGACTTCCTCGATAAATGGTCTATTCAACACGAAAAGAATGGTTCAACTTCAACCAATAGTTCCGGAGATTAACGCGTTCAAACAAACAAACTTTACAGCTTTATAAAATTACTAGCTACTTTCGCAGGGTTTCACCTGCTGCGCAGCTCCATTTCATCGTAGCGTGATGTTTTACAGCCTATAGCACTCAGGAACATTGTAGCTATTTAACAGTGAAAGAATTTTGGCAATCCGACCAGCTGTTCCAAAGATTACCCCCTACATACAAACATACAAACTTAAAAATTTTACCTCTTTATAATATTAAATATAATATAAAAAAGTATAGATTATAATGATAAGTCCAGGTTTCCTCACGATGTTTTCCTTCACCGTATACCAGTGGTATGGTCACAATAAGATTTAAAAACATGGCGTCCTTCAGGGACTACTTTATGATGACGTCAGAATGTGCAATTGCATTAAAAAACCAGTTTTAAGTGTACCAAGTGAAAGTTTTCTGGGTTCCTTGCGTAAAGGGCTTCCATTTTGAGGTAAAAATTGAATACTCACATTTATTATTACCGCTTTTGTACCAGCGGGCGGCTTATAGCCGATATTTATTATTATGTTATAGTGTGGCATACAGGCAACCGAGCAGACAGATTACCTGATGGTAAGCAATCAGCATCGCCCATGGACAATTGGGTAGTTTCCTAGGTCAAAAATAAATTAATTCGACGTTTCAATACAATAAAATATTGAAAAATAACTATACTTTTATTCATCAATCGATCGATACACTAAGTTTTCGATATTTTTTAAGCTAATTATTAAGAAATAAGTAAGCTATTTGACGCAAAAATAGTATGACGTCATACATAACTCAGTATTTCATACAAATTTCATAGAAAAGTATCGTTTTTGACATTCGGATAAAAGTATTGAATTTGACCAGTTGGAAACTACCGTATTGTTACACCAGTGGAGTTAAAGGGCGTTGCCCTTGCCGTTTTGTGGATTTGGGTTTCGGATATTTAGGCGTTGGGGGTAAGGAAGAAGGATTGGACCTCAGTTAACCTCAATCTCACGGCGAAACACAACGCTGTGATTTTTTCACGCCGGTTTTTTATGAGGCCGTGGTATCACTCCGGTCGAGCCGACCCATTCGTGCCGAAGCATGGCTCACCCATATTTAAAACGTTCGACGTTCAAAAGTGCCTTATTATAGGATTTCTTGAAATAATTGCTCTGACATTGACTTTGTAGGGAACTTTTAAAGTTGTACGGAATTCGCGTAATATAATTGTCTCATGCTTGCACTCGGGTTTTAAAAATAAATACTTAATGCAGTGTTTTTAAAGGGCAAACAAGTGTTACGAAATATATGCGTTTCTGTTCTGACGTTGGCAAATAAAAGAAAATATTATGATGTCACTTATCTTGGTATGCCTTGGAGAGGATAGGCGGGGATCAGAAGATTCTGGAGTAGTTCTATAAGAAGGCCAAAACCCCTTGTAGATAGACACTGATGGTTTCTTAATATATATTTCTAGCTACTCTCGCGCGGTTTCACCCGCTGCTCGGCTCCATTTGATCGTAGCGTGATATTTTATAGCCTATAGCACTCAGAAACATTGTAGCTATCTATCAGTGAAAGAATTTTGGCAATCCGACCAGCGGTTCCAAAGATTACCCCCTACGTACAAACTTACAAACATACAAACTTACAAATCTTACCTCTTTATAAAATAATTCATCTTTTATAATGCGTAAAAAAATACAAACAAAGTTTTTTGTAAATGTGAACGCAATTACAAACAATTACGTTTCTAAAAACCGCGTCAAAATTAATTTAGCTAATCGCGAGATAGTTGGAGACAGACATACAAATATAACAAAGAGGTCAAACGAAGTACCTTATTCTTTATGACACATTAACATTTTTACAGACTAGAAAAATTATATCTATGAACTCTTGGTCTTTGATGGTGCTTATAGAAACCAGTTCTTTAGGCTCTTTTGTAATCGATAGATGATCACCGGCCACCGTAAGGGTAGCTCGTCTCCCGACCAGGACCAGACCCGAGCGTACGGCGATATACTACCACGCATCCCAAAGGGTTGATGTTCAGCCAGGGTTGCGGGTTAAGCGCAATGAGAAGGAACGGGGGGGTTTTTAGTCAGATAGCGGGAGAAGTCATTTGATGATTTTCCCCTGACAAAAAAATGCTCTTGTGCAATGCAATTCAACCAAATAATGTCAATAAAATCTACTTTCCTCCATCCGGGATGCAACGCGCGGCCTTGTGTTCAACAGTTACAAACACAATCACTGAACAATACGGGTCGTTATATTTTGTTTTTATTATTTTCTTGGCCTCGAGTGTTGAGTAGGCTTTTATGTGATAGTTCGGCAAACGAGCATACGGATTACCTGATGGTAAGCAATCAGCGCCGCCCGCAACGACGGAGGAGTTACGAGTGCGTGCGATTAGTGATTTGGAGATTTTGGGAATAAGGAGGGATTAGCGGAGGGGGAGGTTTGGGCCTCCAGATAATAGGCCGGTCTCTATTTTGCCAGTGCTCAGTAAAGTGTTCGAAAGGTTGATGCTTACTCAAATGCTGCGTCACTTTAACACGAATTCTATTTTCCATGACCATCAATACGGGTTCACCAAAGGACGTTGCGCTACGGACGCAGGAGTATCACTTATAATTATACTCACACGGCGAAACACAACGCTGTGGTTGTTTCACGCCGGTTTTCTGTGAGGCCGTGGTATCAGTCCGGTCGAGCCGACCCATTCGTGCCGAAGCATGGCTCTCTCACACTGTCACAGTTAAAGGTACAAAAGAAACTGCCAAACAATTTGTTCGAATTCCCAGCTGGATTAAATGGCTACATAGTATTAAACAAAGTCGCTTTCCCTGTCCCTATAGGTATCCCTATGTATGCTTAAATCTTTAAAACTACGCAACGGATTTTGATGCTTTTTTTTATAAATAGAGTTATTGAGGAAGAATGTTGGTTGCTTATATTACAAAATCGATTAGTTTAATCTTTTAATCGTAATAAAAAAGCCATTTTCAATTTTTGCTAGATATTGATGTTTCATAAACTATTTTATAATTAAATTATACATACCTAGTTGTGTAGGCGTTTTTTTTTTTAAATAGCTATTACGGGTAATTAATTAAGTTGGAACAACTCCAGACTATTTTATTACCGTATCGAATTGGGTAGTTTCCTAGGTCAAAAATAAATTAATTCGACGTTTTAATACGATAAAATATTGAAAAATAACTATACTTTTATTCATCGATCTGTCGATACCTACACTAAATTTTAGATATTTTTTAGCTAATTTTTAGAGAAATAAGTAAGCTATTTGACACAAGACAAAAATACTATGACGTCATAACTCAGTGTTTCATACAAATTTCATAGAAAAGTATAGTTTTTTGACATTTGGATAAATGTAATGAATTTGACTAGTTGGAAACTACCGTATTCTTATTTTTTTAATATAATGTAATTGTAACATCCGCAGGAAAACCTAGCACAGAGAAAGAGTCATTCAACGATATTCCACTGTCACAAAAATGTAATTTAATTTGATTAATCCATGATTTTGACTGTGATTGTAGCTTTGACATTGACATTGACTTTGACATTGTCGTGGTGGCCCCGGAGGTTCTCAAGCATGAGAGTGCGGGTTCGAAACCTAGCAATGTGACTTTTTCCGATTTATGTATGTACTTTCTATGATTATTTAGACACCACTGACATACGGTGAAGTTAAACATCGTGAGGAAACCTGGACTTATAATTTCTAAATATAAGTTTGAAATCGCCAACCCGCATTGATCAAGCGTTGTGGTTAATGCTCAAACTTTCTCCGTGTGAGAAGAGGTCTTTGCTCAGCAGTGGGCACTTATAGGCTTATGATGATGATTGACATTGACATTGACATTGACTCTGACATTCGTCTAAAAAACTGATATCACAGTCCTAATCGACACCTAAATTTGTGAATTGTAAAAGTAAACAGATCATAATACCTAATAATGTGTGTAAATATGTTTGTTTCAATATCCGTAACACATGTACCGGAGTGCTAATTCTTACTTCCATCGTAAATTTATTAATGTACGTAGGTAGGTACAGTCTGCATAATTATTTTGTATACAAGTCAAGAAAATATTGCTCTTTTTTATAAGGGGTGAAAATTATCACATAACTTCACTTGCCAGGGCGGAGCGAGAGAGAATGTCAGACTCTTACTGACTAAAAATCACCCTGTTCCTTCTTCTGCTCTGGGCCGAGGTCGCGGTGCCTCATTGCGCTTACCGCTGAACATCAGCCCTATAGAGCCCCGTCTGTGGTGGTCTATTGGCTCTTTGAGACGCGCGCGGAACGCGCACACTTTACGCACCACGGGATCGAGGAATGATCTCCGGCCGCCGTACGCGCGGGCCTGCTTCTGGTCAGGCGGCGAGCTAACCCTACTCGCCGTCCGCAGACCCGCGCTTACGGCGGCCGGAGATCATTCCTCGATCCCGTGGTGCGTAAAGTGTTAGGCTTGAACAATTCTTTGTGTGATACACAAATGACTGTGATGTGTATGTGATTTTTTCTATGTTAGTAAACACAACCTCGACACAGAAAAATCCAACTGTAGAAAACGATTTTATTTGCATAAACAACCGAGACATGTATGTGGATAGGGAATAAATTCGGTGATAATTTTTTTTTAAACTTTTGTTCAGACTGTACAAGTGTACACCCCGCTACAAAAACCAGTTTATCTAGAACTCGCTTTGAATAATCTTTCCCCATATACGACGGTTAGTTTATACTGGTAAGTTAAAGCAAAGACTTAAGTTATATGTATAGTATATCCTTTATGTGTTTACTAACAAAACATACGAGTTGAATTTCACACCTATGTGTTAAAAAACAAACGTCTCAATTAGGCTCAGCAAACCAAAAAAATGTGGGAGAGCCAAGCTTCGGCACGAATGTGTCGGCTCGACCGGAGTAATACCACGGCCTCGCAGAAAACCGGCGTGAAACAACCACAGCGTTGTGTTTCGCCGTGTGAGTGAGGTTAATAGAGACCCAATCCCTTCCTAATCCTTGAATATCCGGTACCCTTATCCCTAAAAGGCCGGCAACGCACTCGTAACTCCTTTGGTGTTTCAGGTGTCCATG